AAATTGTAGTTTTTGCCATAAAATCTGAGCCTACGTAAGGTTAATCACTCTTTGTTTGATACTTCAAATAACATTTCTATATTCTAGTTCAGTTAGGAAGCAGAAAGATGTGCAAAACACGCTAAACAGATAAACTACACACCCACTATTTTAACTAATTTTGATTGAATAATTATAAAGGATAATTTATTTGTTAAAATGTTAATGATTCCGGAATAAAACTGTTGTCTCTCTAACACAACAAGTTCACTATTAAATAAAAAATAAAGATAATTTATTGAGAATGACGAACTAAAGCCAAAAAAATATATAACTATTAAATCTATATAAAAATATCACTCTAATTTAATATACAATAATCATTATTTATTATAAATAGATGATTCGATGATAGAAACTAATACTAGTCAATACTATTATTCATTATAGACGTTGTCTAGGTTAAAAATATTTGTTATCAGATTTATTTATCTTTTGCTGTTATTATTTATTCTTCTGATAGCATCACTGACACCTGTAGATCTCGGTGCATCATTTGCTACACGACGATTAATATCACTCGTTGTAGATGATCGTCCAGAACTTTTTCGTGTTCGTGTTGGTGATTTATAGTGTGGATTAGTCGGTTGAAATGTTGATGGTGTTGCTCTTGTTGCTCCTCCAGAATAATATGAAGATGATGGCGGAAGTAAAGCACTAAATAAATAAAAAATAACTTTTTTTAACATGTTATAGAAAAGAAATGTGAGATATTATGATACACATACGGTGTTTGTTGCCAACTAGCACCTGCGGGTTGACTATAATGAGGCATTGGTGATGGATTTGTTGTTCCTAAAAATAATTTGTTTACTAATGTTTAATTAAGTTCATTTATTTACCTTTATATTTAAGTGCTTCCATCATGTAGTCCATGTGTTTTATCTTTGCTTTTAGAACACTTAATTCTTCTTGTTGTTGACTTAATAGAAGATTTTGATGATCAAGATTAGACATACACTGTTCTAACATCTAGAAATAGCAAACGATCGTTATCAAGGTACCTGTTTGTCTCATTTTTAACTCACAAATTGATATTGTAATACTTGTTCTTGCACATCCATTTGTCCATGTAATATCTGCGTTGCCATTTGCTGAACGTCACGCATCTTATAAATGAACAAAAAATTTAATTTTTTCTTGTCAATGAATAAAACAAAAAAATTGTTTTACCGAATTATTATTAGTAGCAACCAATTCTCTTTTATTTGTCTAAAGATCATTTGTCGTGGAAGATATTTATAATTAAAAGAATGTATTTTTACTCACAGAATTATTGAATATGGGTGAAGCATTACTAGCATTGGGATAGTTGGATATGGGAGGAATTAGACCACCTGTGGGAGCGGCTGGTAACGATGGTGGTATACTTGATACTGTTGGTATATTGCCAAATGTAGGTGTCATTGATGGACTGACACCTATACCGGCATTTTTGCCCAGATTACCTGGCATTGAGTTGGGTCCCGCTGAAGTTCGCGGCCACACATTATTAACAGAAGTCATTGTTCAACGTGTATTTGCTAAAACGAGAGACAATGGAGCTTTTAAGGTCAAACGCCAAAGAAAAAGATGATGTTTTTTTATAATGGCCTTAGGAGAGATGAGACATCAAAAAGCAATATTTAGCACAGGTACACTCATTTTTTCTCTACTATATTTCTTCGATAAATCAACCGTATCAGAAAAAAAAGGAAACGGAGTGATACATATAAGTAAGAGTATCAAACACGTGTGTATGTTTTGAAAAATTTGTATACAATAATTGTACCACGAGCTAAAACCATACCTTTATTAAACAAAAAGTCACGACTCACAAACTAGATAATGATTTATATGACGTAAAATACAGGTACACACTGCAGAATAACTATGTCTAACTCTATTAATGATACTAATTTTGATCCATTATCCACAAACAAGCGTAATTCAACAACTCCTCAATCGGCAGATATTTACGCTCAAGTAAATAAAGATAAACGAAATGCTGCAGATTTATTAAGACCTACGGAAGCTGATAAATTAAAAACAAGTGCAAATCAGAACAGAAATCAATTTGATAATAGCACTAAAACATCAGCGACTATATTATCATCAGAAGGACGTTCAGCCGATTCTCAATTGCATGAGAGAATACCGCAATCGTCGCCACCAAGAGGAGATTTGAAAAACGGTGCCGAGCACACAGAAAATAATCACGAACAATGGGATGAACAATATCCAGAAGATTATTACGGTATGTTTTGAAGGCATTTCCATTGTTTAACATTAAAAATTTTATGACTAAATTAGTTTTGCTTTTACTTTCGAGAAGTGGCATGCACTGAAGTTCAATTCTTTATTAGATTATTTTTAGTATTCTAATTTCAAACAATATCTAGTGTACACTATTTACAACAACTGTATGCAAACGAAATTCTGCCTGTTTCAGGTGCCTATAATAGCGTTGGACCACCTCCTCCGTACATTGAGGAACCGAAGAAAAAAGGCATTAGTGTAAGTAAATGATATAATAGAATATAACATAAATGAACATTTTTGATAATTTTTCGTATTTCTAGGCTAAACTCGATCGTGTGATACAACGACTTCCTTTATTAAGCATCTTTTACAAACCACTTCCTCCAACCACGTATTCTTGTAAAAAAGATCAATATGACTATTCATCAGACGCTCCTTCCGATGCCTATGTCCCTAGGGAAGATGGTGACGATGAAGCACCACAATTGGTTGATGCTGAACAGCCGAGAGATTTAACTAAGGACGAAGTGATGTTGATTGAACGTTATTCAAATAAATCAGGAATTAAAGTGATTGAATTGCAAGCAAAACCTGAAACACAACCCGTCGATGTTTGTGTTCAAAAAGAACTGAATTACATTCATGTTTGTGATGTTGGTCGAAGTGTTGTTGAAATTTTTGATTCAAATGGCACACTGAATCATGTTATTGATGATGCACATATGACAGCATTTTGTCCTACATCGGTGTCTGTGGGGCAAGACGGTACAATCATTGTTGGAAGTCATTTTATGCATCGTTTACAAATGTACGCACCCTGTCAACCAGAAGCGTCAGAAACAGACGATCCGGCTAAAGATCAAGGATTCTTTTATCAACAGTTCAAACTGGGTCAACAAGGTCATGATCCACATCAGTTTTATTATCCGGCTGGTATTCGTTGTGATGATACCGATAGTCTATTGTATGTATGTGATCGTGGTAATTCACGGATACAAATCATTGCTCCTGGTGGTTATTGCGAACGAATAATACAATTGATGTCTACCGATGGTCAACCATTAGTACCCATTCAATTAGCATTTCGTAAACATAAAAAGTCGCAAACAGCTGTTTGCATTGTGGGCAATGGTGATTGCATTTGTTTTGTACCAAAATATTCAGAGGGTGTTGTGACAGTTGAACCATTGTACGTTGTTGACGAAGAAGGTTTAGGATTGAAAGGTGCATCCAGCTTATGTTTAGATCAAAATAATTATATTTTCATATCGGATACGGGTAACAATCGTATCGTTATGTGCTCACCATTTGGTAGTTATATATCACATTTTGGTATTAATGGCGCAGAAATAGGTCAATTAAATCATCCATGTGGAATCAGTTCAATGGAAAATGGTACTTTAGTAGTGGCTGATAGTGGAAACAAACGAGTGCAATTATTTGGTCTGATAAATGATACCGATGCCGGACCAAAAATCTCTTCACCAACGTCTCCCATAGAGAAACAAGAGAATTTGTTGGTTGACACAGAACAAGAACGACTATAAATTTTTATGTACATATACCTTGAAAAACTCACGTTATTTAACAATCATGATACGGTTGAACCGATCCTTCAAAGTTTATCAATCAATTAAGAATATTATCTAATGTTCTCAGATTCAAACTTACATCTTATCATCGCTTTTTTATATGATTTAAAACAAAATCAATGTAATAGATACATTCTGAGGTGAAATTGAATTTTCATTGTAATTTCCTAAGATATCATATAATTTTTATTTGTTTTTCTCGTAATATTTATTTACAAGATACAAGAAAAATTTAATAAAAAGAAAAAAACTATTCTTTCCAGTGAAATATGCAAAGTTCTGATATCAACAAACAAAACCATCAAAGAGAACTCGAAGAGAACGAGGAAAGGTTCCCAAGTGGCAAATCCGTTTTGACTGGAAACTTAGTGGACAATAGATAATTGAGTGTCCTGATTCCGAATATCACAATGGTTTGGGCCGATAGGTCTGTGGAGATCCCGGTTTTAG